TGTGTGTGTGTGTGGCCAGCTCAGCCCACCAGGGGGCGGGGCTGGCTGGCATGTGGTGCTGGGGGATTGAACCGCGGTCCCTGTGCTATTGCCAAGCTTGTTCTAAGTAGGTGCTTTAGACCACTGAGCCATCTCACCAGCCCCCTGTTACTTTTTAACATGCATCTACATGGATGTGATACCTGCCTCCATATTGCTCGGCATTATTATTACTAATTTATTTTTGTGTTGCAGTACTAGGGGTTGAACCCACGCCCTCAGTGCTCACCTATCCCAGCCCTTTTTTATTATGAGGAAAGGTCTTGCTAAATCAGTAAGTTGCCTAAGTTGCAGCTTTCATCCTTTCTGCCTGTATGTCATACAGAGGTTTCTAATATTTTTTTTCCTTCTGTACACTCATCATTTTTATTAGCTCTGTGTAGTTGATTTTTCTAATCACTATGTTGGTGAGAAATTAGACTTTGCTTCCCTGTAGACTGTTGCATAGGGTTCCTAGGCGTAGGTAAGGGCTACATGCAGTGCTGTGTAGCAGTGGTTTGCACATGGCTGTCACTAGGGAAGTAGTGTTCTACACTTGAGTTGCGTAAAGGCTTCTGTGGTGTTGAAGTACCTTAGAAGGAAGGATGGGTGAGCAGGGTGTGCTTTGACTTCTGCGTGTGCATTAGAACTTGCTTCCTCTGATGCATTAGGGCAGCAGGAAGGGCTGTCTTGCAGGGATGGAGACTGTCAGAGTGAAGAAGCCTAGGCAGCACCTGTGTGGTATGGGAGCTCGGGTTGTACACGGTCTGCCCCTTCATATGCCCCCTAGGTAGTCCAGCTCTCCCTGTCCCTGCTGATATGGCCATCATTTGGCGTTATCATGAGGGGGACACCTATTCTCCATGTGATGTGGCCCTTCTGGTTCTTATCTCTGTAGGAAGAAGGTGAAACTACAGGGACAATTCAAAGGTCTGGTGAAAGCTGCCCAACGGGGGTCCCAGGTGGGACATAAACTCCGCAAAAAGGATCGCCGGTCCTGAAGCCCAGGACCCCTGGGTACTCTGATCTAAGCCAAAGCTGGCTCCAAGTACTCAAGATTTGCACAGCCTGGACTCAGTGACTTGCTGGAGATGGAACATGACTCTGAGAGATGCCCAGGATTTTAGAACTCCAAGTGGGACTCAGCTTTAGAAACATCCTTGGGAGGACTGGGGAGATAACAGTAGAATAAGCACTTGCCTGGCAAGTGCAGGGTCCCGAGTTCAATCCCTGGTACTGCAAAAAAAAAAAAAAGAATAGAAAAGAAACATCCGTGGGGATGAGACTGTGGCATTACTGCCTCTGAGTAGGTCCTGTGAGGTGAATGTGCTTTCTGCCCAGTGGCCATGAGCAGGGTAGCTTGGCCATGTGCTGCTCTTAACTGGGCTGTGGTCTGGTGTGTGAGATTTGCTATGATCAGGTGTGCAATAAATGTGTATCACCGTGTGTTAGCCCTAGAAACACTGTTTGGTAACCTGTCCTCTCCAGGTGGAAGAATGGAGATGGCTGGCCAGGGTGACCTTGACTCCTTCCTGCTTGACTCAGCATCCAGGCTAGGGCTGTGCCCAAAGGCCAGGCCTTCCACCCTGCTCAGAGTCAGGAGAGTGCCCTGGCTTCACTTGGCAGTCCCAGTTGGAAAGCAACTTTTAGGGGTCAGGAAGGGCACTGAATGCTCCAGCACTGATGCCTATAGCCGTGCTTGGACCCTAGGAATAGAATTTTGGGATAGAAAGGTGGTAGCTGGCTCAGCTGACAGCTGCAGGTTGAGTGCAAGTTTATATGATGCTTCAGTTGGCCAGGATTTACATCTTTAAAAAAGTTGGAAGCCAGTTGTCATTTATCACGTGTACTGAGCCCCTCCACATATTTTGCACACATTGTTCAGCCATGTCTCTGTTACTACCCAACCCCCTATCCAGATCTGGTTGGGTACAAGGTGGTTCCCACTGGTCCAGCCTGCTTGGTCTGGTGCATATCTGCTGTACCCCAGAGGTCCCTTGTCCTATCAGCCCAGGGTCTCCCCATTTTTAAAAATTTTATTTATTGTGTACAAGGTCCCCTTACGCAGTTCAGACTCATAGTGAACCTCCTGTCTCAGCTTCCAGTGCTGGGATTACAGTCCTGCACTGTCACTCCTGGTTTCAGTGGCCGACATAGCACGCCCCGGGTTCCGGAGCTGGGATGGCATGGGTACTGGGGATTGAACCTGGGTCCTTGCACTTGCCTTGCCAGGCAGGCACTTAGACCACTGAGCTCTGTTTCCTTAGCCCAGGTACCCCTTTTGTGTGCTTTCCCAGCAGACCCCCCACAGCCCAATATGAGGAATATGCTTTGTCCCCTGACACTTGATCAGCCTCATTCTCAGCTTATGAAATGAGACCACACATACCAGGAGTTTCCATCCTGGTTTTGAGCTCTGATAGTGCTCCCAGGAGGCCCCATCCCTTGATGCTGTTCCGCTCATTCTCCAGGGGTCCCAAGCCACTGGATTCAGTGCCACCAGAGTTGGTATTTGCTCCTGATCTGCAGCTAAGAGTCAGGAGTCCTACTTCACCCAGAGGTGGTACAATGTGTATGGCCTGTTTGCAGATGTGCGCAATGCGAGAACAAGCAAGAAAGGGAACCCGAGAGAGGCGGCTTGTAAGGATTGGCAAAGGTAAGCCAGCCATGACCTGGTTACTACGCTGTACAGATGAGATTAAGTCAATCGCTGTCTTTTCTTATCTCCTTTCTCGAGCACTAGAACTGCACATACCAGGAAGCCTCATATAAACCAGGGAGGAATTTGAGCCAGTTGGCCAGGATTTATGTCTTTAAAAAAGTTTGGGGGCTGGTGAGATGGCTCAGTGGTCTAAAGCACCTACTTGGAACAAGCTTGGCAAAGCACAGGGACCGCGGTTCAATCCCCCAGCACCACATGCCAGCCAGCCCCTCCCCCAGGTGGACTGAGCTGGCCACACATACACACACACACACTAATAAATAAATGTTTAAAAAAATTAAAAAAAAAAAAGTTTGAAGCCAGTCTATTAAGTGTGTTCCCCATGAAGCTTTGTTTTTATTTTTTTATTTTTTTGTTATTGGACATTTTAAAATTTATTTTTATTTTTTTAATGTATTTGGTACAGACTTCCTGGGAAAGACATTTTTGAGCTGAGTCTTTTAACATTTGTTTATTTATTTATTTATTTTTACTTATTTTTTTCATGGTACTGAGGATTGAACTCAGGACCCTGCACTTGCCAGGCAAGCGCTTATTCTACTGAGCTATTTCCCCAGCCCCAGAGCTGAGCCTTTTAAATAAAATCTTTGTCTATTTATTTGGTACAGGGTCTCTCTCTGTGAAGCTCAGACTAGTAGTGATCCTGTCTTCAGCTCCCAAGCTCTGGGGTCACAAGCGTGCACCACCATACCCGGACTTGGTCGCTGGCTCAACACACCTGGGGGGTGGGGCTGGCCCAGCATTCAGTACCAGGGATTGAACCCCAGTCCCTGAACTTGCCGAAGCAGGCACTTAGTCCACTGAGTTCACTAGCCCCTTTCAATTCAAATAATTAGAGTTTGTCAAACAAAAGCAAAATCTTACATCCATTGATCTCTGTAGAAAACATCCAGATGATACAGAGAAAAGAAACTACCATCCTGAAAGATATCTGGGATGATTTCATGTTCTCTAAAATCAAAGAATGAAATTTAGGAACAGTGGAGGTAAGAGAATATATTTATTAAGGCATATTTGGGGTTTTTTTTTAATGTATTTAGTACAGGGTCTCACTACATAGATCAGCCTTGTAGTGATCCTGTTTCAGCCTCCCAAGCGCTAGAATTACAGGCCATGCACCACCATGCCCAGTATCCAAGGCCATCTCGATGCGTCCTTGGGGCAGGGCCATCACAGCAGGTGTGGGAACAAACCCCTGGCCCCTACGTCTGCTTAAGCGGGCGCTTTAATCTGCTGAGCTATCTGGCCCGTCCTTTTATTAAGAGAAGGAAAGTTGTCCACGGGAGACAGGAAGAGACCCAAGTGGTTTGCCAGGTATTGGTTTTTTTGACACAGGATTTTGGTATGCAGCTCAGGCTGGCTTTGAACTCAAGGACAGTCAGTGCCCCTGTCCCTGCCTCTCTGGTGGTGTGATTACAGGTGTGTGCCACCATCCTCCACTTGTTTTCTTTCAAAAGAGAGATGGGCAGATGACCTAAAAAGGTTGGTATTCGTGATATGCCCATCTTCTCTAGGAAGTAGATTTTAAACACAAATTATCTTGGTAACAGACAAGAAGTAATGCTATGATACCACATCTTGGTATCAAAAGGGACACGACACTCTTCCATTTCTGAGAATGAAAAAGCAGAGGACCCAGAAAAAGTGTCTGGAAAGTCTGCTCACTCATTCTCAGAAATGGAAGAGTGTCGTGTCCCTTTTGATACCAAGATGTGGTATCTGCTGGCCAAGGTGTGAGGTGCTGGGATTCGTAGTGGCGGTCTGATGGGTCCCTACTGTGATACTTAAGAGCATGGATGAGTCAGGTGAGGCCAGTCCCCCCTTCCCTGGTCACCTCCCATGAGTGAGTGTGGCAGTGGCCTGCCACCTAGGTCTGCAGCCTACTGCATCCTCATCAGCCCCAGAAAGTGTTATTTCTTGTTTTCAGTGCAGCATAAGGGTTTGAACCCAGTACCTTCACACTGAGCTATTTCCTCCTTCTGTTTTTTTGAGAGGGCCTACTAGGCCTCACTGAGTCACTAAATTGCCCGGATTAGACTCAAATTTGTGATTGTCCTGTCACAACTTCTCAGGGTGTTGGGATTACGGTATGAACCACTATGACCAGAAAGGTAGTTTTTTTTTTTTTTTTTTTAATTCATATTGGAAAAAGTTACTTAATATGCTTCAGTAGCCTGCTTTCAGTCCTCAACGTCCTTTCCTCAATTCACTGTTTTAAGTTGTTTATGTTTCTTCAAAGGGTAATCTAAGTCACTGGTAACATCCCCCTTTTTTTAAAATGTATTTATTTGGTCCAGGGTCTCACTATGCAGCTCAGACTCATAGTGATCCTCCTCTGTTTTCTGCCTCCAATACTGGGATTACAGGCAGTCATGGTGGTCTCAGTGGGTGGTTCAGCGTGCCCGGGAGCAGGGCCAGTGTGACATATGGTACCAGGGATCGAACCCCAGTCCCGTAGGCTCTTAGTCTGCTGAGCTAATTCGCCAGACTAAGAACCTATCTTTTATTTATTTGTGTGTGTGTGTGTGTGTGTGTGTGTGTGTGTGTGTGTGTGTGGCCAGCTCAGCCCACCAGGGGGCGGGCTGGCTGCCTGTGGTGCTGGGGGATTGAACCGCAGTCCCTGTGCTTTGCTGAGCTTGTTCTAAGTAGGTGTTTTAGACCACTGAGCCATCTCACCAGCCCTGAACCTGTCTTTTAAAATATAACAAGTACAGCTTTAAAAAAGCAAGTTGGTATGTATTGTAAATTTGCACATGACTATAGTAAAGTTTTTACCATACGTATATAAAATAAATACAGTTTTCAGTGGCCCAATTTAAAACATCTGCCCAGTGGATGCGACTCCGTTTATTTATAAAGAACCTTTGAATCCCTAAGTATGTTGTTTCTTGATTATGCAGGAATTTAAAACCATCACTAGATACTAGGCTATGTGCAAAGCAGTATTTAGAAAATGACACGATGAATAGTCCTTGTTCTATTTTTGATATGCATTATCATGAGCAGATGATGACTGTACTCCAGAAAATAACCCTGATTTGGGACAATGTAAGCTGCTTTGCCATTTCCTGAAATTAAGCCTCATGTAGCTACTGCCATCAGAAACGCGGAGCTGTTAGAGGACCGTGAGTCATCCAAGGCCAGGGCTGCAGTGACAGTTTCTGCCTCCATTCCATGTCCAGTGGGCGAGTCATGAGAACCTGTAGAATTGGCCTTCAGAGCTGCGTCAAGTCTTCCCCAGGCGTAGTGGTTGTGGGCATGACTGCGTAGTCACTCCAGAGTAGGGTCTGGAGACTGCAAAGGGAAGGTCAAGAGGGATTAGACTCAGGAGAAACCAGCCTCCTGAGAGGTCTCCCAAATTTGTAGTTTAAGCCACATAGTGGCACATGCTTGTAATCCCATCGCTTAGTAGGCTGAGACAGGAGGATCATTGTAAATTCCAGACTAGCCTGGTCTACAAAGTGAGCTCAAGGCTAACCTGAACTGCATAGTAAGACCCTGTCTCAAAAAAGACACTACCCCCTGCAAAAAAAAAAAAAAAAAAAAAACCACACACACACAGTAATTTAAGCCACAGGTGGCAAACACCTGTAATCCTAGTACTTGAACCGGTGTGGTGG